TTAAAAATGACTCGAAACAGTCATGGAAATGATAAACGGAGTGTTTAAAAAAGTTCTTTTCGTCTTACCCAATCGACTAAGCACCCTTTATCTTGGCAATATGGAGGTCTACCACTGATTATTTCCAATAGAAGTATTCCAAAAGCATAGATATTACCCTGGATATCGAGATGGCGTTGTTCCATAGAATTTGGAAGAACACAAATGTCACCTTCATTGCTGATTGTGCCTGAGCTCTTCTCAGATCTTGAAAGAACTGACTTCCAGCTCTCAAAATCAACCAACTGCAGAAGTTATAAATAGCCAGTCATGAGAACTAAGTGGGACATGAATATCCTGTCATGGGAAAGTTTTCATAACTCTGTATATACTATATAGTGTAGCTGCACCTTATATGCATCGAGTGTTTCGTAAATATTTTCAATTTTTCAGTAGAGATTTAAAGGAATGTATCTTTTCTTTAAGATGAAACCGCTTTATATAAATGGGATAACTACAGAATGGTAGGGTTAAACGGCTCCAGTCAATGATCAAAAACTTCTGGTTTAGTTATGACACCGATCACCTAGATATTCACATTATGAGCAAGTGATCTGGTCTCACCTTAGGAGAAAAATCGTGTGTAAGATACACGGCACTGGAACTCAATTCAGATAGAGTAAATGGAGGGTCAATTTCAGTGTGAAGATACTTTAGTCCCTTGGCTATGCCAATAATAATTTTCATGCGCCGTGTCCAAGAAAATTGACATCCTTCTCCGTCTGCATTGGTCAGAAAGCTTCTGCTCTCAACTCATCGGATATGGTGGAAGTACATAGCAAAGTTTTGAAACGAACAAAAAGGAAAAAGGAAAATAAAAACTCCAGCAGAATTTACTTACAATGAAGGTGATCGTGAAGTGTTCCATTTGATGCATATTCAAATACCAGCATCCTTGTAAATGGACTACTTTCTCTACAATACCCTAGCAACTTTCCAGTATTGTCATGATTTAATCTTGCCAAATCTGCTACCTGAATTGCGTAATTACATAGAAATTCTCAACGCATGTCTTCAAACAATAAAAAAGTTCCACCATTCCATAATATGAGCAAAAAACCAGTGATAAACAAGAAAAAGACACCTCTTTCTGAAAATAAAGTTCGAGGAAGCCTGTCCAATTCTCTTCTTTGACGCAAAGGGATATTACAGCTATTTCTGGCCCACCTTTCGTGGTTCCTTTATATACTAGGCTATCCGGAGAGGAACCGATAATGTTGCTGAAATCTTCACAGGCTACCTCAAGTTCTTGTCTGCTGTACCTCACCACATCCTTCAGTAGCTCGGAATCTGGAAAAACATTTTCCGAAATTAATTATAACAAAGAATTACTTCTGAAATTAAAAACACAACTACAAACAGCAAACCAAATGTAATAACAGTAAATGCTGGATGGTCGATAAGTAAGAGCATGTTCAGCTACACCTAAGAGTATGCCATTAGTTTCCAAACATGTTCTGATAAGTCATTTTGTTTTTCTTCTTTTACTTATGTAAATAAAAAAGCTACTCATCTTGAAAGTAACCCTGACCTTAGTGTCACACTAAGATACAAAATTTATTTACTTTAGACTTCTTATTTACGTATAAGTAATTTTTTAAGCTTAGACAGACACGATCTAATTTCAGAATCCAGATGGCATACGCCGAGTGTGAAAGACTAACCTGTGTACATTATCTTGTAGTCTTTATCACTTGCTGACTTCTTCCAAGGGATGATTATTGAACGTTTACCTTTGCACTTCCGAAGTGTAGTGATGAGAGCAATGACAAATAGAGAACCCAACATAATTCCTGTTACTATTTTGATGGCCAAAAGCCATGCGGGTTTTGAAGCCTTAGATTGATGTGTGGATCTCTCTACAACAGGTTGGTGTCGTGTGTTAAATACTGGATGGCTTTTAGAGGGCAGAGCACCACCTGCTATAATGATTTGTCATTAACAACAATAATGAGGTTATCACTAAGCTAGTAGTCAATCTTTCAGCATCATAAACTTTACACGCTGTAAAAAAACAACAACGGCTGATTGTTTGATTAAAAAGGAAAAAAGTGCACTAATACAATCAGATTACAGCTCATCAAAATTTAAAATTTCATCCTTGGTCAAAACACAAAAGGGATTATATACATTAAAAGAACTCATGATAGCTGCTTCAGAAAACCAGCAGATGTAACCACCTTGATTAAAAAGAAAGGGGGGGGGGGGGGGGTG